CTGCCTTGGAGCTAATCAAGCCTGGAACTTCCTAAATTACCTTCATTTAGACATTTAGGTGCACTGTTTGGTTCAGTTTGTTTTTTTCCAATTAAAATGAATGTATCATTCGTTAACCTTGAGGCGGTAACTTGTCTTTTCATTTCTTATCTCTGCGCTCAGACTGTCGCCTCTCTCCTTTCTCAGTAATCGGCCAAATTCAGTTTCATTCTGAAGCAATTTTCAAAGTCACATCCCAGCATCGCTTCATTGCTTACTTTGAAATGGACCATCTGACAGATTCGGACTTAAAGGCATTACGTGTTCTGATCCTCATTGCAGACCTTTAAGTCACCACGAGAACAACCTCGGATCCTTAGTTAAAGCCGTCTAGAATTATTCTTCCTGTCCAGAATATAGCGGCAGGGCTGTTAAAACCAGGGCCTCTGCATTGTACAATGACCTGCCTGAGGAGCAAAACACCAGTGAATCAAATTCAGTCTGGAAATAATGTCTGAATTTGTATTGATTGACAGGAGAGTAAGACTGGACAATGTCATTAGCCAGTGTAGGTGATTCTGAGGACATTGTCAGACCAAGATTTGGGAGGCAATGATATTGTCTCTGAAGCTAATGCTGGCACACTTTGAAAGGAATGGAAACAGATAAAAAGGGATTGTTTTGCCCATATTGAGGGACAGTTTTATTGGAAAAACCATACAATGACGATTCATGTTGGATCACAACATTGTGTGTTTGTCAATAAAATATTTTCCACCTGCGAGCTATAGACAATTCAGGGATTCTTTCTGATTCTTTGTCTGGGTGAAGGCCAAATTAAACCAACGTCAAGTTCTCTAACAACATTGTATAAGTATACGCTTTCACACGGTTTAGTTCAACTTTCTGCTCCCTGACAAAAGAAGAAATTCCAGCTCAACATGGCATGGTCAGTTCGCCTCCATTATTTGGCCTCACCCCCAGGCTCTTATAATCAGGCACCTACAGTCACAATCAGCCAAACATACCACTGCTATCCACAGGAAGCACAGAACGCAGAGCTGCATCCAGCACAGCAAGTCGACAATTTGGGGTAATACACAGTGATGAGGGTCAGCCCGCACACTCTGCTAGCATGTAAGTAAACTCTGCCATGCACCTGCACACTCTGCTAGCATGTAAGTAAACTCTGCCATGCACCCGCACTTTAATTTTTTCATCTTTGTATTTTGTTTCAGTAGGTGCTAGAACCTGAAATCTGGTTCTACTCTTTAAAGATAGAAACATTCGCCTGCTTAAGAGGACTTCAGGAAATATCCCAGATTTATATTTAAACCTACCAATATTATTCAAAGACGCAAAGACAAAGTGTCGCAATTGTTTTCACAAAAAAGTTGTTAAAATTGGGGACAATGTATGAGAATAAAATAAGAATCAGCTGGAAAAATCTGACAAAAACCCAAAATCTTTACAGCTTTAAAAATATATATTTCACCAATTTACAATATCATCTAGGGCTGCAACTAATGACTATTTTGCTAATCGTTTAATGCTCTTTTGCTACACATTGGGGATGCCGCCATGCACTGCATGTAAAAATATATTATATCATATGTTTTAGTGTCTATTTGACCTTTGTTTAAAGTATTGCTTTCTTAGTAAAGAACTTCAAGCTTTGAAAAATGATTTATGAATAAAGTTTAATTACAAATGATAATAATAACAATAAATATTATCATTATCATTATTATTGTTTTGGTTTTGATCAGGTATTACTCAAGGTTCAGTTGTGAAGATCCACTTAGGACTGTTTCTGGCCGATGGCATAAAATGTTCCAAAATCTCCATAACGTTCATTATAGACCCCTTTCAATGTAATTGTGCGTCTGCCTCTGTACTTTTCTCCGTTGTATTATTGGTCTAATTGGATTTTGAATTAACAAGTCATTATTCAGGTATCAACATGATGATTCACATTTCAATGCTTAGAAAAAAAGTGAAATTCTTTCCCTGTGGATTCTTTCCCTGGTTCTCCATTATGCAATAAAACCCCCAAAAAGATAAAACTCGAAGGCTGGATGAAACAGCTTTATTTCAGTCTATCTTTATGAACCACACAACAGGCAGTACATCTGCAGTTACCATTTCATTTCAGTTGGGATTCCAGTTATATGAGCCATTTACAGGAAACAGAACCTTATCTCAGAGTCAAATACTGTATGACCAAAACAGTTACAGAGTGAGGCTGGGGGAGATACTAAATCATGAGAATTAAGATTTGTAATTGATATATATATATATATATATATATATATAAATATATATATATATACTGTGAACCGCAGATTAATTACACAGTTTAACTTTAACCATCAGTGTGAAATAAAGTTTTACTGACGATCATTATCCGCTGATAAAATATGCCAGGACATCGGCATTTATTCTTTACTAGTCGCCGATCTGTAAAATTTTACATTGTAAACAATCAATCAATTGTTTAAATTGACAGGAGGAAAGCTAGTAACCGTGGGAGCACTGCATTCAGACTCTGCTGGGTGAAAATGAGTATTGGGAGAAGGTCAATTATAACGTTATCGTGATGTGTTTACATGTAATCTCATAAAATGTAGTGTGGGTGAGAAACTTGAATAAAATCAGTTGTTTGAACAACATGAATAGATTTAAAGAGAGGGAATTATGACCTGTTTACACTAGCTCTAAGTAGATTATACTACATCATTCAAAACTACTAATGACAAGCTTTGTTTTAATCAATGAAAATAAAAAAATGTATTTCGTTTGAATTGTGTGTTTTTAATGAAGAAAAAAACACTATAGATGACTATAACAAAGTAAAAGGATAACATTTAGAAATGTTGATGGTTTACTTCAGAGCAGTTGAAATGATTTTTCAGACGGTGGCAAAAACTAAATAGCCTGGAGCCTTGTAGACCAGCTGCTATAATCAAACAACAAAGGGATCTGTATCTGCCAATACGGATCATAAATGATTAGTAATTAGTATCGGTGGCAAAAGAAACATAATCATGATTATTTTTTTGTAAAGGAAAATTGAATGTGAGGCGCTTGTATTAGGCATGGCAGCTCGGCCGTTCCCTGGAACTGGAACACGCATATCCTCCTCCCTATCGCAAACAGGCAGAAACACCCTCCTTCATCTTACAAAAAGACACACACACACCCTTCTCCTCCCTCACAGTTCTATTCTGCCTTGATACATTGTGGCTTGAAGCGGCTAATGCTTTGGCTTGTAATCAAACGTGTCTTGTGCAATTGTAGTATTCCTTGAAGTAAACCACGACTGAAAGTGATTGATTTATTACATGTTTTTGTATTAATACTTGCCATTTGGTTTCACTTCATTATTGAGTGTTACAATTTGTTCATATAGACTGGGGGACATTTTTCTTTATTGAGCAAACACACTGTAGTTTATTTTGACTCAATCCCTCATACATAGTCGTGCTGCCCCAAATACTCACCAGTGTGTATTAATCCTTTAATCTTTGAACAAACAAATTCACTTTTTAATCCAGTTTGTGTAATATTTGCTAAACACTATAGTATCCACGGGTTTCATAAAATTACTGAGCCTTTAAAAAAGATAAAATACAAATTAAAAATATATTTGTTATTTTTTCTTTTTCTTTTTTAAAGATTCACAGCTTCAGTGGCAACCAATGGGCTGAGAGACACAGACAGTCCCACAGTTGAGAGACTGTGAGGCTCAGAGCTAAATACTAACACCAGCATGTTGACACATTCACAATGTTTGAAATTTCACAAGTACTTATTATTGTGGTCACCATCCTAGTTTAGCGTGTTACCATGCTAACAAATGTTAGCATGCTGAAGCTGATGGGGATGGCATTAGTTTAGACCATACATAATTGACGCAGTTTGCCAAAATACTATTTACTTTACCACTTAAATTAAATGGTCAATTGGATTTTTTTAAGGGAAAACAAATCATTTTATTAATTAATCGATTAATCAACTAATCGGTAAAATACTTGATAGATTAATGAATAGAACATTTTGTGAGTTAATGGCAGCCCTGCAAGAGAATATTTAGTATTGACAAAAGGGCAGAGTGACTGCCATCTCTAGACCCATGTGACTAACTAGATGGCACAAATGAATGAAAGAAATTCAATTTTCCAATGGTGTAATTAACAGATATCTCTTGACTTTGCAGGGCTGTTGTTCAGCTGTGCCCAAACAGGACATACTACAGCTGCCTCTACAGTTACTACTCAATCCACCGAGAGAGTGACAGACAGGATGGGAGAAACCAGAGACACCAGTACTGTTGTCCATCCAGCTTCATCACCAGTGGACACCTCCTCAATGTATTCTTCTTCCGTATCTCAATCCAACTCTTCTTCAGGCCCTGACCCGTCATCTGTGACCAGGACTACACCAACCACCATCACAACCGCCTCAGCTGGCAGCAGCATCAGAGGTCTGGTCAGGTCACTTCTTTCTGAATTACTTTCTATTAATTTTTAAACGTGAAGTGTTTTACTCCAACCGACACTGCCTGAAGTGATTTGGGAAGCTGCATAATTTTAACTATTGTTGGTGGGAAACAGTTTACCAGATAAATAATTACCATGCTATACTTGGTAACATATTTTATAATATATTACATGATGTGTATTTAAAATGTTTTGCTAAAAAATATATATAAATACTGGGATATTTTGGACATATTACACTGATAAGGGGTGAGGAATGGAATTAAACGATATATAAATCCTGTACTCACTTTATAGTATAGCACATTATAATCACCTGTAGGTATTTTATTTGAATGCAATCTGCAGCCTCACCGCTAGATGCCACTAAATCATACACACTGGTTCTTTAAGTCATCATTAAAACGGCTTCAAACCATGACCGGGCCGCCCCCCCTTTTTTTTTTTCTTGCATCACTCAGTCATCACGTAGCCTCGCCTCCAGGCTCTTGTAATCAGTCACCTCTTGTCACAGGCAACCACACACACACTACATCTGCCCTCAGGGAGCACAGAGCACAGAGCTGCAGCTACACAAGTGTTTGTGGAGATATACAGTGAAAAGAGCACTATGATGAGGGTCAGCCTGCAGGCTCTGATATCATGTAAGTAAACACTGACATCAATGCATGCTATTTGATGTGGTGACTAGCCTTGAAAACTGATTTCTCTCTTTGTCTTTTTATGTACAAGACTTGTCAATGTCTCGAGCAAGTCAGAATATGTGGAAGATCACGTCACAACTATCAAGATAATTCAATAAATTGAAGAAAAGTTTTGCTGAGGGAGGTGGAGGGAATGCAGACATACCACTCCATTGCAAAAATGTCCCTCTTACTATTTGGTGTCGTGTCAACTCTCGGAATTGTTAAAAAATCTCTCCAAATTTCATTTAGGTCGCTGTTTGCGTGAGATTATTTCCCATTTACGACTAAGACAGGCTTGTTTCAAGATATTTTTTGTTAAATTGCAACAGTTGAAACATCTCTTAAAAGCAGACTTTTTTCACTGGTTTAAAAAAAGATGTTAGTTAGTAGTATTCAATACAAATAAAGTTAAAATCACAAGCCAGCTCTCCCTGATGAGGGTTAGCGTTAAACAACGGAATGCTTCTTTGTTGTGTAACATTTGATTTGGTGCTGAGCTGTAAAAACAATATTTAACAAGTGAGAACGTACATTCGATATTTTCACTCTTTCAACTTTGGGATGATTAAACACATTTGTGTAGGTGCCACTAATCTTCAAGGGTGTGAAATCTTTTTTATTCTTCTTAACTTTGACTTTGGTTGTGAACAACACTGTGCAGTTTTGAAACCTGGGGGTAGTAATGGAGTTCTTACGTCACAGGATAATGTGATGAGTTGAATCACTGACTTTCTGTCAGAGGATGATGCTGTTATTCATTTCCAGTAGAAATGTGGAGTGACGTTGAATGCGTCGTACCTGATCTCTGCCCCGACTTCCTTTTCACTAAAACACCGAGGACAAAACGCTGCCTCTCCCCCTAAAGCATTACATGGTTCTCCGAAAACAGAACTTGATTCTGCCATGACTTTTACCTGTTAACTGTGACCTACTTGTTCTAAAGGTGAAGTTGAAAGTTGGTGAACTGCATGTTAAAGTCTCAGCTGTTGAAGCACCCTGATAGCCTGCATTGTTAAAGGACAAGGCTGGCATTATTCTATATTTTTCTTTTAGCCAACAAATCCCTGGAAAAGACTAAAACCAACAATGTGTTAGTCCATCCCACATTACGTCATCAATTCATTTTTCTGCCTCGCCGTCAAGGCATCTTATTCTGTTTTATTACTGTTATTATTGGTTAAAGCCCCAAAACATTCAAGTGTTTCATGTGTACCGTTTGTAATTGCCACATTCAGAGTCGTCAGTGATGGTATTAATAACAACACACACAATTAATATCAAAGGGGTACTCAAGTGATTTAGTATTTCACCTCCATAACATCATCATGACATCTTCAATGACATGACATCACCATGTTAATTCTTTGGAGTGCTCATGCTGAGCAAACTGACGGTAATGTGTAAAATAGAGTGTAAGATCATTATCATCCCTCTATGGTGTCCTCAGAGACTGTGGGGCCTGTAATAGCTGTTGTATGCTCCTAAATCTGTTGAAACACATTTCCACCGGACTGTACTTTAAATAAACTTTTATTTTGGTTTTAAATTGCAGGTCTACTGTTGTATGGTGCAGTAACAACACAGAGGACACTAGGATTATCTGAATCAACATCCCCAACAACAGAACTCCCTAAAACTTCTGCATTGAGGCCTACCACGTCGAACAACGTCAGCTCCCAGGCTACAACCTTGAATTCATCAACTACTCAACCACCCACGTCAAGTGGTTATGTCACCAATATAACTTCCACCAGTACAACTCTGTCTACCAACAATACAGCTTCCACCCAAAATGTAACCAGCACTGAGCAAACAAACACTCCAAATGCGACAATTTCATCAGAAACACAAACCACGTCCTCTTCATTTTCTTCCTCATCTCCATCTATCACAACTGACACCCAGGACTCTAGCTTCAGTACCAGCATCAGTACCAGCACAAGCCCCAGCATCAGTACCGGCATCAGTACCAGCACAGCACAAACCACCAGCCCCATCACCACCCAAAACACCGGCACAACAACTACTACCAGCAGCACCACCGCAAGTGCCACCCAAACCACCACACTGGGACAAGAAGGACATAACTCCGAGGCTCTGAGCTCAGGTATGTAGCGACAAGAATGCTAACATTTGATAATTATGACTAAACACAAAGTAGGTGAGACCGTCATTAGTTTTACAGTTATCTGGTCATAAACCAAAGTATTGGGCAAATTAAAGTTTAGAACAGATGATGGTGCTAGATGAAAGGTCAGGGGATCAATTTTACTGCAATTCAGCTTCTGGGCACCATGCATGTCTGTACCAAATTTCACAGCAATTTACGCGGTATAGCTGTCAAGATATCTCACTTACAACGATAAATGTCAATCAGCTGGCAGCACAAGAGGAAACGTCACCGTCTGACGACAGAATGCATCATCTGGGGACCATGAATGTTTGTACCAAATGTTGTGCCAAACAATCAAGTAGATATACAACATCACAGAGACATTTTACTGAAAAATTCCTCCTTTAGGGACCTTGAATATATGCAGCAGATTTCATGGCAATCCATCAGTATAATTAGTACAAAACATCTGCCTGTTACTTACAGGAAATAATATGCAAAAATACAGGAGAATGACTTCCCTCCATCCATAAATCCAGGCTCACCTTTGTAACCGCGGTGGTTATGTCAAAGCAAGCAACTCATATGTCTAATTGGAAATTATCTGCATTACGTTTTTTGACCACCATTTCACCAATGTTTCTAAACTACTATTACTGCACAGTACAATTCTTGCGTACACATTTTTAGTTCAAGTGAAGAGTTAAAGAGAGGCTTCATCAGCACAATGTACTAGTGAGTCAAATCTGAATCTGTTGCATAATGTTTAAGAGCTTTGTGCGCCTTTTGTTAGTTATTTTGTGATACAATGAATAAGAATAGTAAAATAATTCAATACTTTTCATATTCGAACATCATAATATATTTATAGCTGTTTGGGGCCCCCAGGCCCAGGGTGCCTACCTCTCCATTTTTTATAAATCATTTTATAAAATTATAGTCAACACGCATTGCCAGTAAACTGCATGCCATCTGACAAAACCATTGATCTGAAGTAAATGGTCCATCTGTCCTAAAACATCAAAATGTGAGTGTCTCTGAGTGAAAAAAGGGAACCAAAGAACAAAGCACCGGTGATCACACCTCTCTGATTAAAGAGGTCAACGCAAACACACAGAGTCCATGCATCCGTTCCTCCTTCTCTTTGACCTATTTAAGCAATGTGTCGATCTGTGGTTAATATTTGAACACTTTACTCTTACACTTCCTTGTTTACTTTGGAGTTGAGTCTTCACAAGTTGAATGAGTGACAACGAACGGCATCAGTTTGAAGACAAATGGCTGTCTGCCAGTTCTTTCCCTGCTCAGTCTATTATTCACAAAACTGTTCAACACCTGACCTGTTTTTTTTTTTTAAATGGCATCCAGTCGTTGCAGAGACACGTTAAGCAAGTCTCTCAGCTCTATAGATCTATCCATTCTTAATACGGATTTGTATATGTTATTTTAACAGAGTTTGAACTCAGAGTTTGTCCCTCATGTGCAGGAATGTGAAAAGACATTCCCATCATCAGTAACCATTGAATCTGATAATGCATCTGACTCAGAACTTTTATGACATACCTCCGGTTGCGGTTTTTGAACTTAGGCTGTTTCTAGGCTAGGTGTCCAATTATAAGTGTTATGAGTACTATGAGTCACCCAGCGGCTATAGACATAGCCCCAGAATCTTAAGTCCGGAACTAAATATGGAATTATTTCTCTGCAGTTATATGCTTTAGCACACCCAAAAGTCCAAAACTGAAAGTTCCTGTTTGATTTCCCATCACATCTGAAACCAAATTAGTCTGTGTCATGGCCGGTGAAAGCCACAAGAAAGTGGAAAACAAGAAACAGAAATTATTTTAAAATGGCAAATGTTTTTCATCTAATATTTGCATTGTGATGCAGCTTTTCTGCAATTGTTTCCGTGTTTGTGTAGCACGAACCTCGATCTTCCTCTCCACCCACTATCGCCAAATGAGTTCAAGGATTTGACCGCTTTGTTCCATGACGAGTTGAAGATTGATTTGATAATCTACAGCAAACAGACAAAAAAAGGCCATTTTATCAGAGCATCCAATGGAGCCCTCAATTCCCTAAAGTGTCCTCCCAGATCACTGTTGAAACTCAACAAAGTTATCTGTTACTTGGTTGTCTGTCAGCCAAGAAACTTGAACTTAGAGAGAGATGTTGGAGACAGCTTAATTTCCCAAGGTGGTGTTTATTGATTGAATTCTGCTTCCGAATAAGAGGAGTGACTTGGAGTGTGACAGCCATCTGAGCATTTCTTCTGGGCATCAGTGCCATCTCACACATAGTAATACACATGCAGCAATGTGCTTGGTTAAGTTGCCGGCTACGAGATTACTAATTAATACTTCAGCTCAAAGGTCAGTGTGGTCTGCTGGCAAAGAAATTATCTTAAGGTCATGGTACATGACAGAAGAAGATTAAAGTCAGTCACACAAAATATTACATTTACATTACAGTCATTTAGCAGACGCTTTTATCCAAAGCAACTTACAATTCAGAGTCTATCACATTTCTACACCATAGGCACAGCTACGGGAGCAATTTTGGGGTTAAGTGTCTTGCTCAAGGACACATCGACATGCAGGAGCCGGGGTTTGAACCGCCAACCCTCTGATTGAAAGACAGCCCAGCCACTTAGCCACAACCGCTAAGTATACTATAGTATAAAGTATAATCAGTTGAGGCGAGCCGCGTACTGTATGGGTCCGACCAATAAGGGAACTAAGATTATGTTATATGTTTATATTATGATTATGTATTCAACGTTGTTTGGATGATGACATGACTTGCAACCTCGTGAAAACATTAATGGCAGAAACACATTTTTTAGTTGGACCTGTGAAACTTGATGTCTCAAATTCATTCTGAAACTAGATGGCGATGTCTATTGGTCAGCCCATCAGCCAACTATTGCCAGATATCCACTCGTTCCCAGACAGTCAATTTTAATCAATTTGTGCATCTCCTGAATGTTCATCTCCCACCACCATGAGTTTGACCTTTGAGGTTTGGTGTAGAATGTCTCAACAACTGAAAGATGGATTGCCATGAAAATTGAATGCAGTCCCATATATTCGAATGTGGGTAGTGTGTTTGTGCACCACCGGAGATGCCAGCAAATAACGCAGAAGATTTTCAAACAATAGATTTTGGCAGAGCCGACTGAGACATCTCTGATATTTCCCCAAATACCTTTTTATTCCTTCCTTTTAATTATTAAAAAAAACTAGCAATACATTTAACAAACACACATATATATATATATATATATATATATATATATATTTCAGTTGGACATAAAAGGCACCTTTGACAGAACCGTTCTGAGTAACAAAAACTATGTAACGAGTAATGTAATGCATTACATTTACAAAAAGAGTAATTAGTAAAACAGTTTCAAATAACTTGCACAACACTGGCGATAAGCAAGCTGAAGACATAGAGTTTAAGTTCAGAAGTATTGTGTAAAAGATGGAAAGGAAGTAATGTAGGAAGAAACTTAGGCAGAAGGTACTTGGAAAAACGTATTACTTGTTTGCAGGACTAAAACCATTTTCTACAAACAATGGATCTTATGATACTTACTGTCTCTCTCTTTCTCTCTCCAGGAGGTATTGCAGTTATTCTTATTGTGTTCACATTGATTGTCACCCTAGTGTTGGGTGGGCTTTACTACTACAGGATCCGGTGAGTCCAGAGCTCAAACAAATCTATAACGAGTGCATTAACATGTTATTGTTCCTGTAGTAAAACTCAAGTGATGACATTTTGTGGGAAAGGTAATTTAAAATAAACATATTTTGATGTGAATTTGGGTTTTATTTGTCAAAGATTTTTTTTGTAAAAGGTATCTGTCTCTGAGATTTCTGCCACCACAATGAAGCTGAATGGAATTAGTTCCATTTTTTTATTTAAAAACACACCTGTGTACAGGTTTCAGGGGCTACTCTTACTATAGTAAATGAATGATTATGTCAAGCATCAGAGTAACTTTACATTTTTTAAAGTATCTTTATTTCCTGTATATATATATATACTGTATATATAGTCTTTCTTTAAAGACTACTGTCATCGTATTCGTTTCTCTCCATTCAACTTCTCTCTCACTGTTTTTTCTCGACTTCCTCTCCACCCCAGACTTGGATCCTATGGCCCTCTTCTGGACAACAACGACCGTAGCGCTATGGCAAATTTCAGCAACCCAATGTATGACCCATGAATCCTTGCTTTTGAACCTCCAACTCCAGCAGTGACGGCCTGAACCCAGAGCCCTCAGTCTGTGGATGGAGACGTTCTGATCAGAGTGCGTTTTTCGTGTGTGCGTGATGAGTTCAGCGCGGTCACATTTTATAACTGTGACCTGCGGCCTGACCGCTTGATTGACAAAATGCAAAGCAAATGTGATGTTTCTATTGATCTTTGTTGAAGTAGCCTCATTTGTTTTATTGCTAGGTAGAGTAAACATAGAAGGACAAACATTTTAAAACAGCTCTGGCTGCATAGACTTAGCGCATAATTATATTACCACAGCTAAAATGTTAAATTACAGTGAAAACAAGCGTGTTCGTCAGTTTCGTCAAAAAGGAGGAATTTTATAAGCTCAACCAGGATGTTTTAACAGCAAAAAAGTACAGAAACCTTTACTCTAAGCAAGTGTAATAGATGAGGAAGCTCTGACAAATTACAGCAGCAATAGTATTATTATGAAAAACAGTTCAAACAGTACATCATGAGGAAAAATCATTTTTTTCTTATCATTTTCCTTGAGATACCTTTTTCTTAATTAAACTGTGAAACGATGAGGTTTCTGTCGCAAAAGTAGAAAAAGGTTCCGCTTTCAACCTCAATGTAGCCAGCCAGACAAAGTACAAAGCTCATCCACAAATGTCCTGGTTTAACATATACTCTTAGATTCGAGGAGATGAAGAGTTAGACATTTGCATTCGGAGAGGGAAATTTTGAGAAAGGCGCTAAAAAGGATGATGATGAGCGGCTGTCTTAGCTTTTATCGAGCATGAAAGTAGGAATAAGACAATAGAAATAGATTTTTAAGGCCAAAAAAAAACAGAAAAGTGAGAGTTTTGAGAATTTCTCCTATAAACTGGGGAGTAGAGACATTTTTAGGCAAAACAAAAGGGGCAAAGTTGGCATTAGCGGCCACGACAACCAAGAAAGGAGACTATTTTGAAGAAAATGTTTGTAGCTTCATTCATTCATTTTCAAATTAAGTGTGTAAAAGAATATTTTTACATGAAAGGATTTATATCACATGCAGTTAAAATGAATATGAATCGTTTTCATACTACAAACTGAATGGTGCAGAGGCAGAGAGAGCCTTTAAAAGGATAATATCTGGTTTAAGCCCTGTGTGTCTTCATCCTACTGAAGTGAACTAAAACACTGGATCCTCTCCTGCTCCATGTGCTCCAGGCTGCATTTCTGATTGTTATTTTCATTCCTTCAGTATTATAGTATTGCTTGTTTGCATTCAGGTGAAGAATGATGTGACAATTGTGTGATATGATTGTATTTAAATGTGTGTGGAATAAAAGTGATGAAGGAGTCATTTGAGTCCCTGTGAGTGTTGTTTCAAGGAAATTCAGAGAGAAACTTAAATCCCTTAAATCTGGTCCATTAGGTTTACATTTATTTATATTTGTTTATTTACATGTTATATTTGTTCATCATATTTCATGTGAACATGTTGAAATTTGATAAAAGTGCCAAACGAGATCAGAAGTCTCCAAAAACATCAGGATTCCTCCTCTGGAGACCATAAATACCAACAAGTAAATGTTAGAAAAATACTGTTTTTTATTTGTAAAATATTTAGCTTTGGACAAAAGAGGTGCAATTTTTGTATGTAAGTGAGGGAAGCACTAATATGACAATTTTTGATACGAAAAACTGATTGTTGACAAAAATTTCTGCAGATTGCAATTAGTTGGTCAAATATACCTATTTATCCGATTGTCTTTAATATACTTAAACCAACCAAGGAGCAAAATGGGCTACACACTATGTTAATACAAAAGAATACATGATATCTTGTAAAACATGTGAAACAGATAAAGTGATATGACAACACAGCGTGTGCGTAAAACACTCATGGATACTCAGCACGGTGTCTTCGTCTCTGCTCCTCAATGGGCTGTAGAGCATTTATTAGTGTTAGCTTTAATAACGGTGCTGTCATCACTGCCCTCCCATCGTGACTGCTTCTATTCTTCCTCTTCCTCAAACACTTTCCCATGACATCCTCCTCTCCTGCCCACACTCTTCTCCTCTCTTCCTACTCCAAACCACAGCAGCTTGTTTTGTTTTCCTAACCTCCCATCTTCTTTCTTCAGCTCCATCAAGATCCTAAAATTGTTTTTTTGTTATTATAATTATTTAGTTGACATATTAAAAGAAACTATCTATTGCAGTCATTTGGCCACAACATCCATGGTTGCTAAAATACTGTACTGTGACTGGACAATCATTGACTGGTTAGCCTCAGCAGAGAAGGGGAAGAACCTGAGTGTCGCCAGCTATGATAACTTCTTCTCCTAACCTGCGTTACAGTTTAACGCTCACTTCCTATTTATTCACAGATTTACTTATTGTCATAATCTATCAAGATTGAATACAAAAATCCACAATTGACATGTTAAACTAGTGATCAGATCCTTTACCTTAGTTAAAAGTAGAAACACCATGACGTAAACGTACTTAATTACAAAGAAAAGTCTTGCATTCAATACTATACCTGAAGGTAAATAGTATATTTTATTTTAAATGCATATTTTAAAACAGTTGCTTAAAGCCTTTTGTCTACAGAAGGAGCTGAATTGCGTCTTATAAATTGCCTCGAGTGATGTTTCAGATCTTGGGAGGTCGGTTAGGTCTGTTTAGAAATAAAAGAAAATTAGCTGGTTTGAGTTATAAAGAAGTGAGGGACCAGACCTCTGTACTAGCATAACACACCCACATCTCAGACTGTTGGCAGATGAGTTGCTTTGCAAACGTTTTTTTAAATAAACTTACTAGCAGATTGTTCTACTTATAAAAAAAACCCCACCTGTAAAATAAGACCTTTAATACCAATATTACACAAAAACGACCCAGTACAATGGAGATTTAAAGCGAGAGATTTTGCTGAACAGCGACCAGGGTGGCCACAAGATAACAAGAAACTACAAGATCATTTGAATTGTGATTCAAATGATTATGATATGTATATATTCTCCCAAAAACATTGCATCAGGCTCTTGTGTTAGTGTGCAGTGTGAAATTATATCAAATGGAAGTACTCAAGCAGATGCAAGTGCCTCTAAAATGTACAAAAGCATAGTGTAAATGTACTTAGTTACTTTCCACCGCTGCTACTACTCGCCTCTCTATTTGTCGTCATAGAAGGGCAGCAGTAATAATAGAGGGTGCAGATTTCTGTGATGCAGTGCTATTATCGGGCATTAAATACACTAAGCAATGTGTGTGTGTGTGTGTGTGTGTGTGTGTGTGTGTGTGTGTGTGTGTGTGTGTGTGTGTGTGTGTGTGTGTGTGTGTGTTTCATTATAATTACACTGGGGGAAGTGCTGGACCATATTTTGACATTACAAACATCTGGAAAGCAGAACTCCAGAATGGTATACTCCACGAGGTCTTGCACTGCACAGTCCGTTAAATGAGCCACAGTCTGACACTGTTACTGTTACTGGCAGGTATGACCTCTACTCAGGACAGTGCACTCATGTGTCGGCAAACTGGGATTAAATAAAGTATAAAGTAAATACTGTTGTATTTTCTTCCTGATTGGATAACAGGAGAAGTAGCATAAGAAACAAGAGGAATAAGAGTCTCACAGGCTGGCCGTGATGCTCAGTGGCAATGCTGCACGGTGCATTTGAAGTACGGTGAATAATCGGATGTTCAATCGTTGTACAGAGGAGGAAGCGATACAGGAAGAAGCCTCTTCCTCTCAAACTCTTCACTTGCTCAGGACTGTTTGAAACCACAGTCTGACAACATGCACTGTCGACACAGTTGACAGAGAGTTACACGCAATAAAACTCTACAGCCATTCAAGCAGCTCTGTGAGGCTGTACTCAGACACAGTGGTGCTTTGAGCTCAATGCTAATGTCAGTACGCTGACATGCTCACAATGACAATGCAAACATGCTGATGCTTAGCAGGCATGGTGTTTACCATGTTCACCATCTCAGTGACGTGTGGTGGCATGCTAAAATTAGATAATTGGCAGTAAACACAAAGCACAGCTGAGACTTTTGTCAATAGTTTTAAAGGTATCAGTCATAAACCAAGTTATATTTTGGGGCTCTTGAGTAATACAATTTTGTGAATATATAAAAAAAGTTATAGAAATGTGTACCAATTGCATTTGGAAACCTGAACCATACAGGAAGCATTTGTGAAGGGCAATATATTTTATCTCTGATACCTTCAAAAACACCCACACACACACATTCACACACACTTTTGCCCACACAAACGTCTACCAGCAGAACGGAAACGTCTGCTGTTTCATTTACTTGGAAAAAAACGGTTGCAGGTTTCATTTTCTGCCTAAATGAGACTGAAGCTTCGCTCTTTCCGGTTTATCATTTTTTACATGTTTTACCTTTAGGATTACGAGCTGTTTTAGAGTCTGAAAACATTTCATGACCCATTTGATAAGTTTCAAACTGAAAGAAGTATATCAGAGAGGGAGATTTTGGAGATGCAGTGAGAACAGCTGCATGAATACTGGTGGCTGTGACGTGTTAACTTCTTCTAGCAAGCAAGCCACTGTTTATATTAAGTATTGCTACTTGTGCCAAAAGTGTTGTATTTAGATTCATAAATCTGCATTTTAAACACAAGGGTCCTCCTTCCATTTTGATGTTAGCAATGTGAGGTGTTTCTGTTAATTTGTCAACCCCCTGAAGTTGTGGTTGCTGTTGGTAGCATGAGTTTTATCACCAATAGATGTCACTAATCAACAGGTTTTTGTAATATACAAGATAAAACACAGAGGAGACAGCTGAGAGGTATATAAAGGCTGAGAAAGTGTGCGTGCGTCTGTGTGTGTGTGTGTGTGTGTGTGTGTGTGTGTGTGTGTGTGTGTGTCCATTCTTGTCTTTTTCTGAGTTTCAGAAGATGTCCCCATAGACTCAGTACCCTCAGACAAGTGTGTATTTGCCAGTGTCCGTGGTCTACCGCTGTAGAGCACACTCTGGTAGTGCAAGTGAAATTTAACTTAGACGATGAAGAAGCAATACAATTTTCTGATTGGCTAAGGGTTGCGAACGTTATGATTGGCTGTTTCAGTTATGTGAAATATGACTGTTGGGCTGCACAGGAACAAAACCACAACCTATAGGACAAACAGCAAATTGAGCTTTTTTCAAATGTACCAATTTAATTATACTAAAAATTACAATGACATTATATATATATAAATTGCAGTCCAATACAAAATAGCTCTATCCTGCCTTTACATGAATGCATGAGTGATAGTAATGATATTGAGAATAGTCTCTGATTTAAATTCTCCTACTACTCTAAGCCAATCTTACTGTCACTGTATGTACTCAAAACCTCAAGTACCACAATCAAACCCACCTAGGACTGATCGATCTCAATCCTTTCATGGTAATGATTCTGCTCCTTCTCAGTATGTGATGTTTGTGAATGTAGTGCGCAGCTTCCGCCACCAGGTGGAGCTTTTGATTAAGTCTACTGTAAGGGGAAGAGCAGCGCTCAACGTGGGCAGACATTGAGCATCGACCCAAATTGCACACTGCAGTGCGGGGTACTTGCAAATGTAGGTTCTGGATTAAAACATAACACATGCACTGCAGACATAAAACCTTTTCATCACCACACCGAGACTGAGAGCCACTGCTAGAAATTGTTTATGATATGTATAATATAATAATATCTACATAAAATGCTGTTGTAATATAATATTGTGCTCTGTTTAGTGAGTCAGTGTCATTCTCTTGTTAGCTTTATTGAAAAGTGTTTTAATATATTAAAAGTAACAGATCATCAAATCATCACACACACACACCCACACACACACACACACACACACACACTCAGTTTGAAGGTGTGCAGTCTTTTTCCCCATCTGAAACAACAAATATGTGTAAATGGATTAAGTAAATGGATCTGTGATTTTTACATGAGAGGTTTACGGTCTTGCCTCGTCCCAAACTGCAAGCTGGCATTGAAGTTTATAATATTTAACTACACAATCTTTCCTTAACCAAGTCTTTTATTTGCCTTTCCAGACCTTAACCATGTCTTAAATGCATATGAGATGAAGGGAAATAGTGTGACTTGCAGTACAAGATATCCTTCTGCCGTAAAATCACTGTCTCACGTCTGTTAATCAATAATCTCTTTCCATTTGCAAGGTTAACAGACGGTGTGTAGAATCAGAAACCATTTTGCAAATATGTGTCTTATTATATATATCACATCCTTTGTAACCTTGTTTGTTACTGTAAGGTAAAATGGTACTTCCTTTAATAACAACAAAAGTAGGAGGCAGCTCTGTGCTGCTACAATGAGCAGCAGTGCTGCAGGAAATGTTGTAACGCCGTCTTTGAGCAAGAGACTTATGGGATATGCTCGGTAGCCAACAATCAGCCACAGCCTACTTATTTTAACTTTACATACTCCAAGGAAAGCAAGAGCAAGATGTCTTAAAGTAACAGGCACTATTCATGAAAACAAAGTCTGACCTTTAATTACCACAGGGGGAAAGTACGCTGAGGGGGAGACTTTTACTGTCAACTCCTACAACCATGCCTCAATTCTCAAATCGTCAAGGTTTCTATTGTGATGAGATTTTTAGTTTTTTTTACTATTTAACCAAAGCAGAACTTTACTGTGTAAACTGTCTGACTTCCAGAAGATTGTTTACTTTTTTTTAAAAACTAACCAGTTAACGTAAAGCCTTCAATGAGCATTTCCTGTGCTTAACCATACCAGACTAAAGACTGCTGTGTTTGGATGACGGTAATAATTGACCAGATTTAGGATTTCCCCTGAACGCCTCTGGATGAAGATTAATCAATGTGGTTAAAACTGTTTCCTGAGCTGTTTCTGACTCTGACTCGGAAGAGATTTATTGAACTTGTACAAAGACGCTATGTGTACGTGAATGAGGATGTGTGCATAGTAGGAAGTGGGTTTATGTCTCACGCTGTTGGAGACTTGATGTGCATGTGATGATGATGATACACTCTGGTGTGTCTTGTACTGCTGTAACACTACATGACTTTTTCACAATAGTATGTGTTGATATTCTCAGTGGCATTACCGACATGCTAATGTTTAGCAGGTATAATGTTGACCACGGTCACCATCTTAGTTTGGTATGTTAGCATGCTAACATTTGCTAAATATCACTGACCACAAAATACAGCTGAGGATGATGGGAATGCCATTAGTTCTGCAGGTATTCGGTCATAAAATGTGACCTGATGATGATGCTAGAGGAAAAGTTAAGAGATCACCAAAGTTCTTACAGTCCAGAGGGAACATGAGTGTCTGAATTACATTACAGGATAACCAAACAACATATCCTGTAAATAGTTTCACCTAAAACCCCAAAGAGGGGATCACCAAAGTCATTAGGATTCATGAACGTCGGTACAAATTTTAGCACCAATCTATCCAGTAGATGTTGAGATATGTCACCACAAAATGTCAAACTTTGACCTGTGCCGGATGAAAAGTCAGACAATCAGTTAAGTATTAGGATGCGTCATCATGGGAACCACAGACGTCTCTCTTTTTTATTTATAAACCAAAAATGTCAACCTCGTAGTGGCACAAGGTGAAAAGCCAGAGGGTCACCAAATTCGTTAGGATTCACCCTCTGGGGGCAACGAATGTCTATACAAAATGTCATAGCAATCCAACCTCTAGTTGTTAAGATATGCCAGTCTGACTGACAGGCCGACGTTGCCATCCCTAAAGCCATGCCGCTAACGTGGCTAAGAAAATACCCATCGTAAATTCCCAGAGGCAAAGGCTTGTTTTGTCTGACCAAGAGTCCAAAACCCAAAATGGATGTGGTTTGTTGTGCTGAACTGTGTGCTTAAACTTGTAATTTGTAAACTTTTCATGATTCATCCTGAGTTGTTTTCGCAGGGAGAAGAGATGGGAAGACAGGAGGGGGGAGTTTCAGAGTGATGAGGTAACACAGTGGTGTCACACACACACATACTCACACTCACACACACACACACACACATACTCACACTCACACACACATATACACACCCACACACACACACACACACACACACACACACAGGTCTGATCAAAGTGTGGCTACACTGACTCTACTGTAACATTCCACTGACTGCTCAACCTTGAATCAGCCAGTATGTTGGATCATGTCTCCATTGCCTCATTCAGACTTCCGTCTCCATTCGTCATTTCTCAGTCGCCTCCTGTCGCCATGTCACATCTCAGTTCCGCCTTTAATACAAAGCGTCATCCAACATCTGATGCAAATAATTAAAAGTTCTTTCTTTCTACAATATCTGGTATAACTATGGTATGGCTAAGGTTTGGGGAACATTGTGGTTACGGTTAAAAAACATCTTTAATCTATAATTAAGACATGTCCATCCACCATCACCACCTCAAAACCCTAACTTCCTGTCTCACTGCATAAAGGGTACACTACTTCCTGTATTGATACTGAACATTTGCATTGATCGTGAATCCTGAGGAGCGTAATTGACCCTTCCGAAGTCGGACAAAAAGAAACATAGCGATGGCGGTTCCTTTTAGTCTGGTGTTAGATAGTACATATGCGCCAGGCAATATTCCTTCAAGAGGCCAACAGCAATGACTACAGCATGCGATGGGAAGATACATTCACAATGACAACTTTTACTCGGGTAACTTTTCCTGTTATGAAGTTAAACGTCCTGTATTAATAACACCGAAAGTTACTTTTCTAGTGATAATTCGTGTCATCTTCAAAATAGGTCAACAAGCAACCTATTTGTCTTTTTCCAAATCTCTTTGAAGTTACCACAGAAATAAGGAGGAAGCAAATGTGATTGACGTCCGTGATCTGAAACAACTTCTCTTGAGAAATTGTTGGCTAATGTTTTGCTGACTTAAGATGTGACAACACACCATGTGATGTGTCCGTGAACATTGTGACACCGACGTAACCATTATAATGTTACCTTTGAAGAGACGTAGCATCTCCAAGTATAACAGGACAGGGGGGACCGAGGTTCTGCCGGGTTCCAAGCTTGCTCAACTGTCATTGGAGCACAGAGCGAAAAGTTACGGGACATAAGAAGGGTCAACTGTATACTGTATATTTACTGCTATATTTTAATTGTGTTTTATTGTGTGCTTTGTGTGTTTGATTATTATAGCTAGTACATGCAGTGTGACGAGTTATTCCTTTCATGTACAACATATCCTGGAATGTCAATTAACATTCTTATCCTTTTCCAAAACATTGCTGCAACCCCAGGCACCCTCATGGCCCTATTTCTCTACACAGACTACATAAATTACTCTCAGAGCCGATCCTCCTGTCGGATATGCTGAAGTACACAAACATAGTATTTGAGGGAGGAATACTTCAGTTTTTCATGGTATTTTTTACAGCCCCAAAAATAACAAGAGTGTAAAATATCTGCAATATAAGCCTAAAAAAATACATGACTCGTGAAAATTAGAAATAACATTTCCACTGATTCATGCATGTATTTAGGTGATCCAGAAGTGTGTGGTAAACTTCCATTCCTGCCCCTCCCACCCCATTCCAGGCCCACAGCCTTGCCCAATCCTCCCTCCAGCCCCCCTGCCCGTCACAGCCCTGCCCGGGCCGGCCTCTCCATCCAGGCAGCATATATGAGCAGCAGCCAATCTCACATGGAGGTCAGACATCTTTCTGCTTTGAGAGTAAACACAGCTGCACAGGATCCCATTGATTGTATTTAGGATTTAAGAGAAGTAAGAAAGAAGTAGTGCTACAGACAACTGGTGAGTTTCAAATTTAATTTAGATTTACATGTCTGTTTGAATTTACTGTATGTCTTGTGATGCTTTATGGATTCATGAGCTACTCCTCACAATGCAAGTATTTATCTCTTAAAAAAAGATGTTTTCATTGGATAGATTATTGCAATTTTCCAGTGTAAATCAGATTCTTATGCCTCTTGACAGAGCTTTGTTCCTGGTTGCGTGTAAGTGAATGTGTTTTTGTTTGTGGCTTCCTTCCTTTGCAGACAAGAACCCAATAAAGAGATGCAGTTCCTGACAACTGCCCTCGCCATCATTCTTGTGTCTACAACAGCCTCCGCTAAGCCGGTGAGCTCACCACAAAGCTGAATCTTCCCTCATCCTCCTCCGTCACTGCTCTTTCTCTCTTAGTTTAATTCATTTTTCTGCCCTGATTTCAACTGATGATGTTCGATTGGTGCTATTTCTGTCAGGGCGGACACTAAAACAGTTTGTTATATCAAGTCAATTCCAAGGTGAAGGCCAATGGTGCCATGACTCGGTATCCTGCAGGTATTGTTATTGCTGGCTTACGGTTTCTTTCAATGACGTTAAACTCTCAGTGACACCATTGTTCAAATTATATATCTCTGCAAGGCCTGCGCATCGTAGCTTACTGACGGTAGGTTTTAAGGCATGGTTAAGGTGTAGGAAAGATGGTGATTGCAGGTTTTTTAAAGGCAAACATCGTTCACCTCCGGCCTCGCTACTGCAAAGAACACATTTCCTCCTGCGTTGGCGCTGAACGTAAATCATGTTCTGCAGAATCATCACATATAGAGGTGTTATCTAGGGACACTGGGCTGGAAAACCCCACGAGAAATTGATTATTTGACAGCATCAAAGTGTAACGTCCCTTTCATTCGATACTCCCTCCACAGATTGGTTGGCCTCGGCATTACGATGCTGACATCGCTGACAATGACTTGACGCAGGGATGGCTGGACGGGAACAACAGGTCTCCTGGATCCTCTAGATACAAAGACTCGTCTTCAGAGTCACGGGAGTCTTCGGAATCTAGTGAATCTTCAGAAAGTCGATCTTCGGAGGAGTCTTCTGAGGAAGATCTGTTCACAGATCAGACCACACCGGTCGTGATCGACACTGCCACGACAACCATCGCGACGGTAGACGGGAGCACGTCCACCCCTGAACCAGACACAGTTACTACAGATGAGTCAACTGTGAGAGTGACATCTCCCACGCCAGCAACACCGGCCACACCCGTTGCCTCGACGTCACCTGGATGTGTGACTCATTGTTTCACCGTGGAGATTCCGACGGCGGTTCCCATCACAGAGAACAGAGGAGACAACTAACTAACCACGGTCCTATTGAAACTGTGTCACTATAGGGCCCACTAATGAAAGCTCTTATATTTGCAGTGTTACAAACTGGGTGGCGACATTACCGGGAAAAATCCCAAGCAGCGCTCTCTGGGAAGTGAGATCACACCTCCAATTACCGTTTATCAATTCAAGAAGCAAAAGGTTGACATATAAGTACAGATAGTCAGTGAGCCCAGTGTGAAATATGAGGGTCGTCTACAATAACTAAAAAACAGTATCTCTTTTAAAGACCACTAGCTGCTTCACAAAAATAACCAATTTAAGAAAGATTCTGTGATTCTGTGATGAATGATACTTTATTTTGTTATAAATGCAGGCCTACACTTTCATTGTTTTTTTAATTTTGACCAACAGAGTTTTAGCCATCAAACGGTGACGCTGCAGAGCAACTTTCATAGAGACCATGAGGCAACACATTTATGCTTTATATATGGTAACTTTACATAAACAAATCTGTGGCTCACTCATGTTGACCTTTAAGTGGTAACTGATCGGGAAAGTACAGGGATGATACTTTGGTGGATTTATTTCAGAGTGTATTTACATATTTTACAACAGCAACAAAAAGTCTCCGTTCTGCATGAAGCATCCAGAGTATGTATCCCACAGCAGAGCGTTTATAGACTCGGGAGGGTGCGTCCTGTTTTGTCTTATTCAGCATGTACACACAACAGACAAGCTGAGTTATTGCCACAGCGGGTTGGTTTAATTATGGGTTGTGAATTCATATTTTCCCAAATTAAATATGAAGACTATATTCAAATGTTGTTGTTTTCTTTGTTTTAACGTGTGTTGTACTTCATTTTGTTGAACTGGATCTACTGGGTGTGCAGGATTGTGTGTGTTGTATATGACAGTTTTTTTCTAAAGGAAAATAAAGAAATCTAAATTACAATAAAATTGTCATATTTTGTAAAATCATTAACTGTCCGAAAATTGATTTTCTTTTACCCCTAGTTTCAGAGGATATAACATGTTTTGTAATCTATTTTTAAGAGCTGGAGACAATTATTCTAACTTGTTTTTAATTAAAACAAATATTGAATAAATATACCGGTTTATCAGGAAGAAAAATCACCCACGGTGAAGTATAAACATATGAAATTAAGTGGGGGTTCAAAGTGTAGTAAAGTGCTTTCTTGGAAAGGAAGCAGTGAGCGGAGGGGGTTTCAGCTGGTTGCAAGCTGCAACCTCACCGCTAGGAGCCACCAAATCCCTTATCCCTTACCAAACGCTGTCCCTTAAAAGGCCACTACATAAGTATATAACAGTGAGTGGGCAAATCATGTAAGTGATAGATTTCCCTGCACTGTAAGTCACTGCTCTAACTCATATCCAACTCATATGTCCTGCTTAAGTGTCCTTAACATAGACACCATACCGTGCCATGTCACATACTGTCAGCAAGTAATGTTGACCTTTCAGTCCTTAAAAGTTATTTCTAATTGCTAAAAAGACCAAAACATGCTCTCATCGCTAGACAACATCCTGTTTGTTCCCTTTATGTCAAATCTAAATAACAAACATACAGTATATCCGTATATATCCAAAGCAAGCAGGGTGGATGAGAAGCTCTTGCTAATGGCATTTTAATGAATCAGCTCCATCCAGTGGGAAAAGTGATAAATTACAGTCTACAGACCACCTTGAGGATTTCGAACAGGTTTCTGGTTGATATTTGGACCTGTTAAACCCTTATATATATGTATAAATATAGATATCTTTAGATGTATATATACAGATGTATACCTGCACAAAGCCAGGTCCATAAAGAAATGCTTCCATCCAACATTGTCTTTTGGATGACCTTACACCTTAAAGTCTGTGAGCAGGATCATGTCACTCAACATCAGGGTTGGACCTCACTAATACTCTTGTGTCTGGGAATGGGAACAAATCCCTGCGGCCAGGATATAAAACTGAAAGCCCTATCAGCTCTTTAGCTTTTTATTACCTCAAAAATAAGTGTAAATTGGCTACTTGTGAAACAATCCGTTTGTTCATGTCGTCCCTCAACTCCAACTATATTCTTGTCTCTTAACTTCCTAATCGGACTGTACACAATTGGCCAGCTCAAGGAAGAGGAGGTCTGGGACTCTAAACACACTGTACGGCTCAAAAACAAAAACACAGTCACTGTTTCCAAAGACTTGATTTGTTGATCGGTTCGTCACGTCTCAATCCCCACTGCAGGATTACACAAGTCTCACTATGACTCATGGAGAAAAAAAAAAATGACCCTGTTATTATTACTTCAGCTTTCCCACATAAAAGCTGTAAGCTCAGACGTATTTGCAATGCTTAGTGAGCTGTCAGCGGCCCTGCCTGAAGGAGTGGCACGATGTGAAGAAGAGGGCAGGAGGGATCTATGCCAACCTCTGCAGGGCCAGGACATCATTCAACAATCAAAAACCTGTTTAAAAAAACATTGTTTAAAAAGTCTGAGAGGGGCTACCAGAGCGTTAAAGTCTCGAACCAACAAGACAATCAAATCCTCAGTTTTAAACTGTTCAAATTCTGACATTCTCATAATCAAAGTGCCAGACCTTCTGCACAGCTACACACACTCACAAATCACACACAGTCAACAGCTGACTGAACAAACAAGAAATACACACGTGTGTAGACTACAGCGTTGACACAACAGCTCCAACTACCAGACACAACAAAAATGCAAAGTGCATTTAAACAATATAACCTCACAACTACTCAGGAAATAGTTGAATAGACAGCCACACATTTAGACACCAGTTTAGAAACAAAGCAGCAGACAGATGGAGTGAATGTGACTCACGTGACTTGATGCTGCAGCCCATTCTTCTCTCCTTCGTGGTGGTTAATATCCATGTTTAATGACGTCTCAGTCACTGTTCATTTAGTTTCGTTTGTTGACAGAACTCCATCACTGCTAGCACTGGAAAACAATAGCACTGGTTTGATTTAAATGTTGTTGCAAACTTTCATGGATTACTGTGAGGCCAGAGAGCAACTTACTTCAGTTCAACTTCTCTCTTGCAAAGTACCCGATACACAGTAACAGTGTAGCTGACTCTTTGATGCTATTTTTCTTATCAGTGTAAACTTCATGTGGTTTCTCTTCGATAGGCCCTTTTGACCACACAGACTGACTGACATCTACCGTTGTAACACAGGGGGCGCTGTTGCCCTCATTTGGAGAAACTCAATTAAAACTGGGGAACATAAGGCCACAAAACGATGTAGACAAGGTATAGTTTATGTGACAAAAATAGTTATTTCAATCTGTTTTTAACCAATTTAATGAGAACAACTATTCTTTGTATCAGGGAGTCCTGGATTGCCTTATTTCCTGTGATAAAACACACAGAAGAACCGATACATACATGATAATCAGCGTCGCTGTACTAATAGAGGTGTTAATGTTGCCTGTGTTCATGCACTCAAGTCATTTACAGTGTGTAAAATTGAAATGAAACAAGCCGTGACCTGTCGGTGCAGAACTGATCATAAATCACTTACATTACTGTGAGTGTACTCACAGGAAAATAATGGCATCACAGAGTCCAATTCTGAAACAAAAGCATGTAAAACGCAGTTTTATTTATTGTTATTGTTTATTTATTTACTCTGTTCTCACCCTGACGTGCTGCAGTTTAAACACATTCTGTAAACTCCACTTTTGTCTTTTCCTAACTCCTCATGAATTCTCTCCTTGACCCCATGACGTTTTCCATAGAGGTCAATGAAAAGTGGAATAGACGTTAGGAGGTCATTTTTGGACTTTTCGACCGCAACAAGTGTGTAGGCTATACATACAATGAATATGACTTATCTACATGCACATAGATAGACATACGGCTAAAATGGCAACAGCGCTCAACAACAATCATTTGACTACTATGAAACAACATGAGACAAATGTGAGAGTAGCTGTGCTCTCCATGTTTCAGCCTTATACAATAACTCATATAGTCAACTCCTACAACAGTGTTCACACAAAGCACAGAGCTAAATCCTTCTTTAGACCCAATTGCTTACATTATGATGACATGATTTTGTCAGAGGTGCTGAGACGCATGCTCACTCTTCCATGTAGGTATGTTTGGTTCTGAAATTACATAAAAATAACAAGTAAATACATGATGTATACAACTAGAACATCAAATATCATATGAAATAACCTGCATTAAATACATCTGTATCGATAACCTAGAAAATTAACAAAGACACAGGTAATTATAACTAAATCCTTGGTTTAAATACACTTATACTGCCATCTACTGGTAGAAATGGTAAACACGTTTACTCTGCGTCTCTATGCTCTGCGTTCAGCAACAGCACAATACGGTGGAAAATGAAATATCAGTGCTCACAGCAACAACTCTGGGCACACTAAAATGACTTTGATTAAACTATATTAGGAACTGTATTGCATCAAACAATCCACAGATTAATCGAAAACTTGATTCTTGCTGTGTACACATGCAGTCAACTACTGTTGCTAACATACTCCCATCGGCCCACGTTTATTTATCTTCATTTATTTATTTTTCTTCTAATGGTGTCACTCAGAGACAACCAGGACATTCTGATGTAGCATTTCAAAATGAAAGCCCTTCAAATCACATTTATGAGACAATTTGTCTCATTTGTGTTTGCTGATTTTTGAATTATCGGGAAAAAAAACTGTATTTGTCTATATTTTTCTTGATTCATATTTGAAGGAAAATGTCTTTCCATCAAAGGCAGGGGTGCTTTATTGGAAATTGCATATTGATAAAAAAAGAAGCAACAGACATTTTCTCAGTTTGTTTTCCTCATATTGTTTTCATGCATTTCCTCATCTCTACCAGAGACAAGATTTCTGCTGTATTTTCAGTGTCAAACTATGTTTTGTATAGTTGCTGTAATCTGGACTTCATCACATCAATGGGCCAACAGAACCCTAAATCAAGGATCATATTCAGAGGGACGTCTGTGCTGTGTTTTTGTTTGGTGATGTTTTATCCAAACTCTTGCATGAACAATTGTCTTCATCAGACACAATATTACTAGAATAAAATAGCATCACTAGTATCAAACCATGTATATTTCTGTTTTGTGTGGTTCATTTCGCAAAATGTTGGACTGATACGTATAAAGTCTACTTTTCAAAAAGAGAGAAAAAAAATTCTCTTCAAATTCTTGACCATATTTTGGTAAAATGAAAGATTTCCTGTCACAGTTTGTGCTGTTCTTCCCGCCATCTGTGTCGGTTCAAATCTATATTTAACTGTGACAGGAACATCAGTCTGAACACATTTTTACCTGTCTCATCTTTGCACCTGAGGGGCTTCACTGCTGCAGTTTGGGGCCACAGATGATACAAAGCCTGTAATCAGTCAGAGCTCCCTCTGTGTTTATGTGTCTACAGGGAGGAGAAGATGAAGTCCAGACAAAGGGGCTTCGATATGTGATTTCTGTAGGAATCCCTCTCGTATTGCTGCTTGTTCTGAACATCCCTGCCTTTGGAGGACACTAGCAGGTCTGCACTCGGGCTCAGGCATTGACTTGACAAATACAGGACATTTTCACATGCAAAGTGCAGATTTGGGTCAAGTTTGGGCCGATTGTATAAGCATCAACTGTTACTTCATTTAAAATTACTTTTAATATCTAAATTACAATTCTACACTGATTAGAATGTGTTGAGTACATCACTCTGCATCAGAATCATCCTGTCTCTTTTGCTACAGGCCTGGCTGTCTACTTGATATGGATGTGTGTTAGACGCTTACCCATGCGCAAAATGGTGGCAAAATTGAGCTTTTCACGATTTTAGCAGTTGCTTGCTGATTTATTGCTGATTTCTTATAGGCTGAGCTTTATTATCGAGGAGTGTGTGCGTGTGTGTGTGTGTGTGTGTGTGTGTGTGTGTGTGTAATGTTCTCGCGGAGGGTGAGATGAGAAAATGTACATCAATCTCATGACTGTGTATGGACAAGTATGGACCTGGGGTCAGGAGGTGATTAGCCTAGCTTAGCATACAGACTAGAAGCAGGGGGAAACAACAGGCATGGCTGTCTCCACAATGAGTTACGTGCTGTTGTCGCTAACAAAATGAAGGTAACATAAGTTGACCTTTGGTTTCAGTGCATTACCTTTCATAGGTATGAGTACGGAAAGTGAATGAGAACAGCCTGACGATAACAGCATTTTCATTTTTTTTACTTTGGACAGAGCCAGGCCAGCTGTTTCACCCTGATTCCAGCCTTTATGGTAACAAAGTGCCTTCTAGCTTCTGCTCCATATGTAACACAGAGACATGAGAGTGGTGGTGATCTCCCTATCATAATCAAATAGATTGTCTTTCGTCCATTTCAATTTGTTTTGAACTTTTCTCGTATTATATTTTTTATGATTATACATTGCTTGTTATTATTTATCTTCTCTCACCAGACTTTCCGTCTTTACATCTAAGACAAATCTAAGACAGCCAGCATCTCTTTTTATGAAAAAGGACTTTATTCATATTTTAGAAATGGTACAATATGATACATTACAGTAAACAACTTGGGACAAACAACATGTAGTGTAGGTAAGTAACTGTGCAAATGAACAGGATGTGTGTGTGTGTGTGAGTACGGCATCTATTCTTGACTGAACCCTGTGATAGATAGGGTGTTTCTCTCTGTTTACTTCCTTTTATCTACACCAGCAGATTTGATACTATAGCGAGCAACGAAGCTAAGCCACACAGGCAGCAAATGTATGGCCTAATGTCAAGTTTAAATTCTCTCATGCTTGAAATGATTACAAGTATTTAAATAGATGGTGCACTTTTCGCTCTTGTCTTATAAGCACAAAAACAAGGTAGGTTTGCATGTTTGCAGTTATTAGTAATGGTTAAATGCAGTGATGTGCTAGTGTAGATATCAGGACTCAACTTTTTGTCTTTGTTCTTTTCCAATTTTGACCTTTAACCCTACAGTAACAGAGGGGAGAGGGGCAGGGACAAAGGTCATGAGGTCAGTCAACCTCCACGTTGCAGTCGTCAGTTTGTACATCCTACCACTTTTCCCTTGCGGGGTCAAACATGGGATTCACCAGGGCAACCAGACCACAGGATGCAGGACTTATTGGTTTATTTAAATACAATCTAGAAGGAAAAGCATTTCTGTTTCCCAAAAAGATGCACAAATAATCACAGAAATATGGTGTGAACACATTGAAATCAATATTAATTAGGCGTGGTGGTCCCTGTTTGGCCCCACAGTGGGAAGTGGCTCTGGGGGGAGGGGGGAGCGATTTGCACCTGGATGCAGCGTGTGCTCTTTATGTGACTGACACCGCCGCCCACTCCCGTTTCCAGGAAATATTATCTATTTGGCAGTGAGGACCTCTGGCATGTCAGTGGTGGCGTCAGGTGCCGCCACCTCGTCATTCTCAGCGCTCTCATCTGATTCGCTGTCGGCGGCTCCGGGCGTGGCTGTGGCCTCCTCGCTGCTCTGGCTGTCCTCGTCCTCTGACTCCTGGCTGGTGCTTGCGCTGGCGGTGCTGTCACTCTGCTCCTCCTCCTCCTCCGGAGCACTGGAGCTCTCGCTGGTGGTGGCGTCGCTGGTGCTAGCACTCTCCTCCTCCTTTGGGAGGGAGGCCTGGCGGGGGCTGAGGTCCTGGTTCTGAGAGATGATGGAGGCGGCGTCGAGGCCCTGGCTCTCCATCTCAGGGGTGCTGGTGTCCTCCTCCAGGAGGTCGTTGCGGACCTGAAAAGCCTGGAGGTGAGGCGGAGGAGGAACAGGACGATTAGTTTGTTTGATTTGTCTACACAGAGTACATACAAAACTGCACCAATGGTGGAAGTTTGTGCAGTGCATTTGTTTTTACATCTTGGTATATTCAGGAGTTTTGTAGAATGAATTGAGAGAAAGGTGAGTGCAAGGTAAAAGGTAGCACTTCTGCGAGTATTGCACATCTAGTGGTAAGGACATTATACTGCAGCTTATTGTCAAATTAGATTGATTGGACTCTACGGAAACTCAAACTAACTTGTACCTTGTACACCTTCAGTGACTTGTCCACCTCGTTGCCCTCTGTCATGTCGTACGCCATCTTCTTTCCTGTGCCGACAAACTCGTAGGACTTGTAGGGACCAGGGCCCTTGTGGTAGGATTTGTCCTCCACGTAGACAATGGACTTGTAGTCGCTTGGGTAGCCTCCCAAGCTGTCGCCGCGGGCGGTTTCCATGTCAGTGACGATGGTAGGCAGGATGGGCTCGGCAGTGGCTTCGGCAACGGGTTCCTCTGTGACGATCACAGGGCTGACGGTGGTGGGAGCGGGGGAGGAGGACTCGCCCGACTCTGAGCTTTCACTATCTTCATCCTCCTCGGTTTCCTGGAGACACAGAGGTGGGAGGTGAGGTGTCGGAGAGTTGGCGGCTGGAAAATGTGATTTGCCGCCTCAGAAAATACCTCCCTGAAATCTCCTATGTTAGTCACCACCTCTTTAACTCGTGGCGTCTCTGTCAATTCTATTTGCTGACATTGCCTTTTCACAAATATTCTACTAGATTTTGTTTGGGACAAAGGTCAGGCAAAACTACTAGCTTGTTACTGTTAGCTTAAGTAGCATTTGCTACTGTTCCTGTCCAAAGTTGACTTGAAAAATTACCAGTCACCATGAAAAGCATGAGCTTAATATTACTGTACTGAATTAGGTAGTAGTCATTATTTAAAGAGGCACTTATAGCAAGCCTACAATATTTGAGTCGAACAGTTTTGAGATAAACAATGTCTATTTTTCATTACACTTATTGGCAGTTGTGTATTGCACCTTATTGTTATGTAGCCAGAAGCGTTATCGGTGTGTTTTTTACTCACACTGTCCTCTGCATCGTCATCATCGGCATCATCATCATCGCTGTCTTCACTGTCCTGGCTGTCGACAGAGGTTGTATCTGGGGATGAAGTTGTGTCCGTGCTGGCGGATTTTAATTCTACTAGAGCCTCTGCTGCCGCCTGCTGCAAGAATCATTAAAAGACACAGTCATAAACTTCACCAGAGCTGTACTCTGCTAAAGACATGAGAAGGATCTGATGATTTAACAAGATTTGTCCCGATAAATTAGGAGTGATCTGATGGGAAATACGGTCTCACCTCGTCTTCATCTGAACCCTCTGCACTCTCGTCTGAGCCGGCAGCTGCTGCTGCTTCTTCAACATTCTGCAACATGAGAGAGACACAATACAGTTGATTAATTATTTTTCTGTCTTTTACTGTTTTTATTGCTTTTTCATTCATCCAACATGTCTTCGTAATAGGCTGTTCCTCCTGCTCTCTTTGTATTAACAACACAGTGCCTCGGGATGAGGTATTGATGCAAAAGTTCCAAAAAAGTTCCAAAAATACTGGATCCTACATTTCCCATAATGCAACTCAAATGCCCACATTTTTAGAGCCCAACACCTGCCGTTTGTAACCCGTCTTTTCTTATGGAAATGTCATCCAATCAGAGATAACCCTGACGTCATCAACAAAACATAATACGACAAGAGGAGAAGAAGTTGAACTAAACATGGCGGAGTGAAAAATAGAATATTTTACCTGTACCGGTGCTGCACGGTACTCAGGAACCTCTGCCGCCTTTCTCCCGAGGGGTTGAGCTGCTGGTCGTCTAGCCTGTGGACGAGACCAACATCATTCAAAGTGGAAGTCTCTCTCTCTCTCTCTCTCTCTCTCTCTTTCTCTCTCTAGGTACTCACCACTTCTTCAGAGCTCTCTGAACTGCTGTCAGCAACTTTTCTTGCCTAAAAGGCAAAAGAGATACAAATTCAATTGAAAATACGTTTGTATGTCAATAAAACAAAAATCAATGTCAAAACTGATCGAAACTAATGTCAACATGTAATGTGATAAAGCTGTTCCTGATTGGGGAAAAGTAATCTTGAAGTTTTGACTTGACAGAGAAAACAACTCACCGGCCGGCAGAGGACCGTGGCGAAGAGCAGAACGAAAACAACGGCCACTTTCATCGTGTCACAATTTGGTATCTGGGTGGGGAGACAACCAGAGAGGTTGAAGTCACACAATAAAACAATTAAACATAACCATGATGCACAGAGCTCGTACGACACCGAAAAACCCGTCCGGAGGCCATAACTTCACAGGAAACACAATGACATGTCAAACAGAAAGAAGGAGCTGCTCGTTTCCTCAGTGAATCCTCTCGCCCAGATTCCTTCCTAAAAATGAAGGCTGCGTGGTCACATGACCATTCAGCATTAGCAGTGGCACTTCCTGAGGCATTGGTAGTTCACAGGAAGTCATTAAGTCCTTAATTACAGACCCAAACGAGTGGTTCTGTGTCCCTGACAACTCTGTTTCGACACAGTAAAACATTTTCTCTGTCATCAGAGTGAGAAAATTACATCATTTTGGTGGTTTATTCTACTATGAGACAGGATGTTTCTGGCAGATTCTGGTCAAGAAGATGTGAGAAAATAACAGGTATGATGTAAAAAGAGATGAATGTGGGTGTTTGGCTTAAAAAAATTTAAGTCAGCAACATTTAGAGTTACAACTATCTGAGTCTAGCTTACATTTCCATCAATAACTCTCTTAAGAAGTACTCAGCTTTACGTTTGTTATGAGAGATTTAAATCAGCTGTTGTCCTGCAAACAGATCAACAGACATTCACTGCAATAATACCACATACTACAAACTCATTGCTTCTTCTTTTTAAAAGTGTCTGCATGTTAAAATATCCAGGAATAAGTCAAAAAGTTGAACAGACTTTAAGAAAAACAAGAGGGAATAGTACATTTTTTGGGACTATTTTCAGCAAAGGTGTAGCAGACATTTGGTGCGCTTGTAAGTAGTTACAGCGCCAAGATGGTGTATGTGGGATTGACATGCTACCCATTTTTAGCAGTTTTTGGATGGCAATGGAGCTCAGGCTTTATCTATATATCAGGCTTTAGGTGCAGGAGACAGCACTTGTTAGTGGGATCAGTTCATAGTTGGTTTTAGTCTTGGGATTTGTTGACAGTCGCAGCAACAGTAACTTTTACCCAAGTAGACTTTTAGAGTACGTTTCTACCCATCAGCAAAATGTTGTGCATCCCATGTTTCACTGCAGGTATGACACCTAATTAACAGCAGCTTACAAAAAATTATATTTTTCTGTTTTGCGCTCCCTAACTGTAACAAGCTCTTCTTTTTTATATTTGCTAAGGGAGGAGCAGTCTGAGTGTCTGCGTCTATCTTTAATGGGTGACTCTTCCTATACTGTGTAATTCACCAGGTTATAACTGGAAAGCCACAGAGCAGCAGAAACACGACACATGGCCATGTGCGTGTATGCGTGTGTGTATTTCTGTACGTCTGCTTTTGAGACGCCCAATTTAAGTTTCAGACTTCGAGAGTATGTGCATTTTGTCTGAGCCCCACTTCTTTCAAGGGCTGCTTGAATGTTAAGTCTTGGTTTTAGGGTACAGGTCCGAATAGTTTTTTAGGTCAAGGGTAAGGGTTGGGATTAGACACGTAGCTGTGGTGGTTAAAGTTCATCATTTTAGGAAATCTGCCTATTCGCTTTCTTTCCAAGAGTTATATGAGAAGATCAATAGCAGTCTCATATCTGTATGCTGCATTTATGAAGCTAAAACTAGCTAAAACTAGCTTAGCTTAGCATAAAGACTGGAAGCAGGGGGGGGGGAGGGGGGACTGTTAGCCCGGCTCTGTTCAAAAGTAACTAAATTCACCACCCAATCCTGCAAAGCTAATTAAAGGGTGAGTCCATCTGCATTCTTTTCCAGGTTTTTCAAATGGAAACGCCCACTCAGCCGTTAGCAAAAAGCAGTGAAGTAGGCTACCAAAGTAAGCTAATTGATAAGGTTATTAATAATGTGAACCCTAACGTCAGCTGAGTCAACGTTGGCTTTGCTAAGGTTGGAAATAACTGAAAGGGTTAGTTGAGATTTGTTGTAGTAGAGTTGTATGTATACATCCGTGTTACTGTGAGGTAGAATTACTTTTTGTGACTGGTGTCTGGTTCCCCATTGGACAGGGCTGTCTGAATGCAAAGCAGCAGAACAAACATATTTCTTCTTGTGTTCATTCTATAAAGTGTCGACAAGTTGGGGTTTTTATAGGCCAGACTATTTCTTTTAGGAGCATTGACTTCCTGGAGTCTTGTCATCATGGAGAGTTTGCCAGGCTATCGGCGACTTTGAGACTCAATCACTTGCCCACCAGGATGCCCCAAACCATCACACGTCTTATTTTGAAAGTAGACTGAGGGGTCTAACAAGATGATGTCTCCCACTTCTTTCTTCAGTTTAAAACACTGTTGACTGAGCTGGTAGTTAATCAGCATGTGTGTATGTTGTCGGTGTGTTTACTCAGTGTGGTTAGTCGGGGCTGGACCTGGTCATGTGACACAAAATCCAGAAATTAGTATTCTGCTGCCCACAGCTTCCCCTTCCTGTTTTGGTGTCGCCTTGATGCTAATCAGCCAATCAAACACAGCCACCTCCAGCTTCAACCACTGACCGATCGCAGGCGGACCTCCACAGCTGTAAAGTCTTAAAAAATAACTCATAATTAACTGCAATAAAGTGCAGCGCTTTCAAGGCGGATAACCAAACCCTTTCTGTGGTTCCACAAGATCAATGTGAGTTTGCTCAACATTGACTTTTAATTTCTGCTAATGTTCTGCAGGTGTGGTTAAAAGAATTATCAAAATTAAGTTGCAGTTTGTTAGGAAACCTTTAGCTACAGTTGGACTCTGTACCTGTTGGACTTGTTTGGACAATGTTTTATGAAGAAGAAATGCACTTGGTGGTAAAAAAGTATGTGGACACCCGACATGTTCATAGTTAGATAGTTTAACATTAATCTGCTGCTAAAACAACCTCCGCTCTTCTGGGAAGGCTTTCAGCTGAATTTTGGAACCAGGCTGCAGGGATTTTAGCATAAGAGGGGTCCAACACTGATGTTGGGTGACGAGGTCTGGCTCACAGTCGGCGTTCCAGTTCATCCCAAAGGTGTTGGACTGAGTTGAGGTCAGGGCTCTGTGCAGGCCAGTCAAGTTCTTCTACATCTATGTGGGGAAACTATTTCTTTATTGAGCTGACTTTGTGCAAGGGGGGAAAGGGCCTTCTCCAAACTGTTGCCACAAAGTTACACTACTGTCTAAACGCGTTTCCCTTCATTAGAACTGAGATGTCCAGTCCACACCATGAAAAACAGCCCCAGACAAAAAGTATGCAGACATAAGTGTCCACACACTTTTGGCCATATGTTGTATTTAAAATGCATGAAAGACAATTCACACTGCAAGTTTTCTAAATGAGGAAATTCATTATTTAAACTAAATAAAGTACATTTCCAGCAGCTCATACAAAAATGGGGCTGCCCACTTCTCATCACACCAACAGTGCTGCAGAAAAACTCCAACCCAACCCTGGACACAGTAAATATAATGTCATATATATATAAATATGTATATTCATTCTGACCTTGTTCGCAGTGGGAGGAAGCTTCAGGAGTTCAGCGGCTGCAGGTTGTGGAGCAGAAACAGATAGACGTGGTTTGTCTTTACTTTATCTCCTGGGTTTCCCTGGATGTTGTTCGCTGCTGAGTGATGCTGTTGCTGAAAGCGAGGCCCCTGGTTGGCTTATAAACCCTCCAGCCTCAGGCAGCAGCCAATCAGCTCGGAGCTTGTGATGTCATGAGGTTAACCGCTCCGTGGTCCACCTCTCCTCTCCCTCTCCCACTCTTCCTGTGGTTGGTGCTGTGGTGGTGTGGGGGCAAACACACACACACACACACACACACACGCACAATGTAAAGACAAATACATGGATAAAGACATGGAGACATTTACAGTCCAGACAGAAGTATGTGAATGTATTTTTTCGTGCCTCTCTCTTTCACTCCTCTCTCTCCTTGTGTGTGAAGTTATTTTAAGGACATGTAGTGACAGACTCTGGGAAAATAAAAAGCGGCATATAGTGTCGAGTGGTATGACAATGATTCAGTTTCCTCACAGACAGACGAAAATCATCTGACTGAGGTCTGGATAATTGAGAATATGTCTGCAACACCAGACTGATGTGTGTGTGTGTGTGTGTATGTGTAACAGTCTATGTTATGTTTCCAAGTATATGAATATGTGACCTTTTGGTTTTTTTGTATGTGTGTGTGTGTGTGTCTGTATGTCTGAATATGAAACGGCAAAAATACCGCGAGCGGTAAAAACACTATCACGCTGATGAACACGTATGTAGAAATGTTGATATGAAACTTGCTTTTGGTTCAGAAACGTTGCGATTCAACGTATCCCTGGTCTGCAGAAACGTACAATTTTATTCTGGCGACAGGGTTGTGATGCGCCATGTTTGGAAAAGGAGAAGTCTTTATTCTAATGTGTTTCAAACATAAATGAAAAGTATGGATCAGAGTGGTCTATAAACCAGACACTGTACAAGACGATTTGATCGCTTTTGTGTGATAAAGCAGAGATCAGGGGAGGCCAAACAAAGTGCTCTCTGCAAAGTTTACACATATTGTTTAGATACCTTAAAGATGAGGTTTTTTTATGAAAAAGAAAATTGAAAGGGAGTTAGGTGGCTTGTGTCCAAGCAGACATGCATTCTAAGAATTCTCTTGTAATTTGGGTTTTATGGTTGCAGCGTTCGTGCATCATCAGACTTGATTGACTCGTAAAGTGTCTGAGTCTGTCTGATGATATACACTACGTACACACACACACACACACTCACAAGCAGATGCAGAGTTGTTTACATCTAAGTGCACTAAACTACTGTCGACATATTCCTACATATTTTGAGATTCATGATCTAGTAAGACCAATGGATGAACAACAGATAAATAACTGGAGACCATCTTGCGATGTGATCCCGCAAGCTGCGACGCAAAATCGGGCCATTCATACACTCACGCTCATTTTTCCTTGTCCGTTCCGTTTCCTTCTTTGCTATCGTTGATTATACTGTCGCAAACACCACATGTCCCACATTGGGAACACATATGTCTTGATCTGGCTCAACAAAACAGGTTATTCAACCTCTGTTTTAGCCCAAAATGATTAATTAAAGCAGCTTTAATGAAGTCCTTAAGGAAATCTTGAATAGTGTATTGTAACGAAATGCTAAAATCTCTCTTTTGCTGGAAAACATATAGTAGGATAGGACTAATGCAGGGTTCAGAATATACACACAAACACATTTAAACACGCACAGATACAGGAGTCACATAAATAATCATTTAATGCATTTAATGACACACTGATATTTTAACACACACAAACACACAGAAGACCCATTGAGTCTATCTGTCGACACCGTTAGTCACTGGGTTAACACGCTCACACTGACAGTCTGATTACAGTAGCACAGTGTGTCATCGCTCTGATCGTACAGACGTGTTGAACTCTGACAGCTTGATGGGCTCTGAGGCCTCAGGGTCGCAAACGTACAATTACTCAAACGCTCAAATCAAAGCTTTCTTCTTCTACCGAGGTACTGAGGTATGTCGCGCATGAGACACAGCTACAGCGTCCTGCTCGGTCTTGTTCAAACCCAGATAACCGTCGCTGTCTGATAGCTGAAGATGTTAGATCATCTCAGAAATGTCTCTGTTGAAGAGTTGATGAGTATTTGTCCTCCCCATTAAACTACAGTAGCCTGTGACTTTGTATCAGGAATACTGACTGACTTTTTATTAGCTCTGCCGGGCGTAAGCCTTTGGCGGGATCATGCGTTTGGTCATGTGTTAGCCTGTCTGTATCTCCATGGAGAATCTCGCACACTGCTTTTCCCATCAGCCAAATATTTTTTGTGCTAATCTATGACCGTATGCTCAAGGATCTCTAGTGGCTGTGGTGATTCACAATCTTTGAAAAACATATTTCATTAACTGTTTGATACCGTCATTGACTGCTGACTCCTCGCTCCTCTTAACCGTCCAGCAGGGCCTGCAAGTGATCAACAACTGCTTCAGTAGTGAAAGGCGTTTCCAGCAATCAGCTAGGCTAAAAACAAGCCCTACCTATAGTCTGTTGCATGCCATGTTCTACCTATCAAAACATCAAAAGTTTGGTCTAGTTTTGAACCCGATTATCTACAGATAGGATTTTTTTGCTCAATCCACTCCTCCAAAGAAGTTAATGTTAACTGTTTCCATTTTGTTACAAATTGTATCAGTTAATTTGCAGCAGCTAATTTACTGAAAGTGCATATGAATTCGATGTCATAGCCGCGGTATGTGGTTATTATATGACGGCTATGAACCAATCATATTGCTTAACAGCTACCTGTTTTATAATTTTGTAGAAGCACACCCCAGAGTGTATTGTAACAGCGGTTATATTGTTTTATTCATGATCTACAGTTGGAAATGTTTTTTCCATCAGTGAGCAGCTCTGCTCCATTTCATTTCCACATTTACAATGTGGGGGTGCCACGCTCAAAATTCAAACCGATTTGGTCTGCAAGCTAGCAGGTGCAGACTACTGCTAGTCTACATCATCAAAGGGTCATAAATCATCTAACGTTCAGCCAAAATCTCCCATGACATAGACATAAAGAGACAAATTTAAATGTCCTTGAGTAGTACCAGCATACTTTGTTTCTACCTGTTGTCTGTTGACCTGTTGAATATCAGGTGTGGCTCATTATAAGTCGGCAGTGGGCCGCTCACCAGGTGAGTATAGGGAACTGTGATGTCAGTTTCTGATTATAAAATGAAAGATCAAAGAAGTAATAAAGATGAAACCAGTGACACCAAAACAGCCTGAAGAAGAAGAAGAAGAAGAAGAAGAAGAAGAAGAAGAAGAAGACAAACCGCTCCAGCAACGATGAAAAAATAAATGTAACAGTAAAAACATCAAACGTGATGAGCGTAGGATGGACTGGTCTGTAAGGACTCTTACATTTTACAACGTTGGCAACAAAAACAAGAGTTCACAAGAGTGAACCATTTATTTGGAAAAATGCAGAAGTGTCGTTTCATAGTTCAATAAAATCGTCCCAAAAAAAGGACCAATTGTACAAACTAAAAACAAATCAAGTCCACCAATATGTGTCTTTGTACCTCTGTTGGTGTGTGTGTGTGTGTGTGTGTGTGTGTCTGTGTGTGTGTGTGTGTGTGTGTGTAATGTATCTCAGTTGTGTGTTTTTCTCTGTCAGTTTGTGTTTTCTCACTTTCTGTGTCTTCTATTATTGCATTCCTCATATGCATGTGTGTGTATTTTAACTGACCACCAATAAACACTCTCTATAGCCAGTGTTTGGTTTGTCTATTCTGGGCTACCATAGCAACATGGCTGACTCTGTAAAAAGGACCAGCTCCCATATGTAGATACAAAGGGCTCGATCTAAGCCAACGAAAACACAAAGATTCTTAGTTTCAGGTGATTATACACCAATGAAAATGGCTCATATGGGGCTAGATATCATAGATATGGCAAAGAGTAAGGCCTTAAAGCGGCTATAATAGATAGTTTTATAATAACAATGTATCAAATGACAAAGTGAAAAAACGTGGCCATGTGAAAGGTGTCGCTCGTAGTGATGAGCTCCCCCCAGCTTTAGGGGGCTCTATAGTGAGATTACCTGCTCAGCACCATATAGACATGTAAGTATATATCATATGTGTTTCTTTTTATTCCCTTTGGACTGAAACTCACATTCAGGATTCTCAATGCCACCTGATATCAAATAGTATCATTCTTTACTGGAGAAAGATGAACTGAACTTGACACACACACGTGCCTCGCGAAGTTGACGTCATTGGTCATTTTCTACTTGTCGCTTCCTGTTAAATGCATGTGAGGGGCCTCGATCTCTGTGGTCGCCTCAGTGTGGAAATATTCCTTTTATTAGCAACCTCAGGATATTTGTGTGTTCATACAAATTGCTGCGTTAATCTTTAATAGTCCATTAGTCCATCAAGTTCTGTTATCGTAAAAAATATATATATACGAGAGTGTTAATGGGTGCTGGGAGAGATCAGATATGGTCTGGCTGCTGGTGGAGATGCAACAACTTGATGTGGAGTTTAACACACACACACACACCCACACACACACACACACACACACACACACACACACAAAGACATGTATGAATATAATGCATGCAAGCACACACAGAGGAACAAACACACACACACACACTCTCCAGGCTATAAATGTGGTACAACACTGGCTGGCAGACAGTGGAACAAGAAATTAACGAGAAGAGTAGAAACCTGCTATAATAAGAACTTTCCTAGACTGTATATGTGTGTGTTTTTGCTTCTATGAGGACAACACTAGAAAGATGAGAAAAATACTTTACTTCCTCTTGCTGCATCCCATCAAGTCTGATGTATCAAAATAAATAAATGTACATGATCTGATATTTTAAGTTAAGATAAAAATGCCCAACATTTTGGACCAGTGGACTATTTTGGACCAGAGGAGAAAGATTGTGGCCCTGCGCCATTCAACATATCCTCATGCAATGGTTCGTATGACATCTTACTAAAAGATTGTCCCTTGG